TTCCTGGATTCCCTAACCCCCAGCCCACCATGAACTAGGTTCATGCTTCAATCTCTCCTTGTTTCACAGTCATGCATCTGACAACCCTGAGAGCTCAGCTCTCATCTCCCAGAGGGAAGCATCTTTTAATGCCATTCTCAAAGTTTTTTTGACAGCAACCCACTAAGGACAAACACATACATACATATGATCAAAGTTCAAATTTCAATTCTAATCTTTTCTAGTCCTAGTTTTTAAATGCTGACCATGACCTACTGAATCGATTAGACAACCCAATAATGAATCATATCTGCAGTCTGAAAACACTGTTTTGAAGTGTTAGCGCTTTACAAATGGCAGTTGGTTGAATGTAGGTCTAATTCCTGTGCCAACACCTATAAGCCAGGCCTCTGAACCCAGAATTGAGAGTTATAGTCTTGTCTCTACCACTAACTTCCTACCCCAGGCCATGCACAGCATGGTTGTGGTGGCTGACATCAGGTGACTTGAGGGAATCTGGGTTCCTCTTGTCCAAATGTCCAGCCCAACCCCCAGCCTTTCCTGCATCTGGCAGAAATCTATCCACCAGCAGTCACTCCTGTGCCTTTGACATCAATGTAAAGGATTGTGTCTCCAGGAAGAGAAGCTTTCCATGAGTCCTGGGGAAGGCAGGACCTGGGCCAGGGAATTTCCCTCTTAGGACAAGTCCCTTAATCCAATTGGAAAGAGGGCAATGAACAAGCTGTCAAAATTTTCCATAACGTTCCCCTGAGTTCTAAATGCTGGAGAAAGAGTAAGGGACTAGAAACAGTGGAAAACCGCTAAGCAAAGGCAAAACCATGGTCCCGTCAACAGAGAAAGTGCACTTGACTCTCACCCTGAGGCACTGAGAAGGGTATCTGCAGAGAAACAATGCCACTTGGGGAGGGCCAGGGAAGACCTGGCCCAGGAAAGCAGACCCAGGAAACATGGTATAGCGTGGGGAGTAGGTACTGGCACCCTCAGGAAACTGTGGGGTCAAGGGTCTCATCACCCATGCCAAACTTGCCCCACCTCCTCTTTTTAAGGCAGGACAAAAGAGTGCGGGGGAATTCTGGGGAGAGCTGCCACTTACCCAGATCATATATTTTATAATCCTGCTGGTAGCCACTGTGTATTCTTCTATCAGTTCTGCCAGGTAATAGAGTCCGGCCGCTGTGGGAATGGGAAAGAGGACAAGCAGGGAGAACATTAGCCAGGATTACCTCTGTCATCCTGGTCATCCCTCTCTTGGCAACTGAGTCCCCATCAACCCTTCCTGGACCCCAGAAGGTAAGGAACAAACCAAACAACTCATGTGTTGCCCTTCCAAGTCTGAAGAAATAAACTCAGGGCAAATGAGGAGCGACTTCATCGAAGTGAACTGAATCTGTACTTGATGCCTCTCTGCACAATGCTAACTTCTGCTGCACAAAAGGGAATTTCTTTCACTCATTCAGTATCTGTCGGGCCCTTAGTATGCAGATGCTAAGCTGAGTGCTGAGAATACGGTACAACGCAGACCAGGTTCCTTTCCTGACCCAGCTGGGGTTGGGAGTGGGAGGATGGGAGCAGTAGGAAGGGGAGTGGGACGATCCCACTGTGACACGTGTTGCCTAAGGGGAAGTACAGGACACTGCTGGACCATCAAACCCCAAAAGGAGGGCTTCCCTGAGGAGGTGAGCTCTCAGCTGAGATCAATAGTAGGAACTAGGCAGAAGAGTGTCTAAAAGAGTAGGAAGTACAAAGGGCTGAAGGCCAAAGGGCTGCGGAAGGTGGGGAAAAGTTCGGTGCGGTCTGCCCGCGAGGGTGGGTGCGGCAGCGGTTATGGGAGCACGGGCAAGAGGCACTTGAGTTAACCTCTGCTGGGCATTGCCGGGCTGGATGTTGTGACACCTGGAGGGACCCGGTCAGGCTAGGCTGCTGGGGTCAGCAGGAGGGTAGGGCAGGGGGATGCGAAGGCCAGGAGCAGTGGGGAGGCGCCCTCGTGACGCGACCACCGGCCGGCACAGAGCCGGGACGGGAGTCCGCGCGGACCGGGGTCCAAACTCTCACCGACGGCCAGCGTGATGAAGGCCACCTGGATGAAGAGCGATAGCCAACTCAGCACGTACATAAACCACATGGCGTCCTCGCCCCGCCCGCCCCCCGACCGCCGGGACGGGCCTGCGCGCTTTGGCTCCGGCGATACGCAGCCACGGCCACTGTCCCCGCGTCCCCACCCCGCGGACTGCCGGATGGCCGTGCGCTGCAGCCGAGAGGAGCCCGGCCGGAGCGCCCTCCTGGCCCGATCAGGACTAGCGCCCCCAGCCGGCTCGGAGGGCCAACCGCTGCTGCCTCGTACCGCGCGGTGCTCCCGGACCTCCCGGCTTCCCCGGGCTGCACAGAGCGGACTCGCGGTCGGAGAGGCAGGATAGTCCCGACAGGCGGGCACGCGGCGCCTGCTAGAGGGGTAGGCTCCGGGCTCTCCCTGTGCATTCTCGCGGCAACCTGGAATGGACTCCCGGGCAAGGGAGGGCCGCCCAACTGCTCCCCAGAAACCGGCCAGAGTTGCTCACCGCAGGTAACAAGGACAAAATTGTTGAGTACCTACCATGTGCCAGGCACTGTACTAAAGGCCAAGCCATATGTTCGTGATGGAATTGATCCGATGATGTAGATCATTTTATGGATGAGGAAGCTGGGGCCAGGAAGGGTTTCCTTGCCCCAGGTCATACATCTAGGAAGCGGCACAGACAGGAGTTGGGGCGTCTTTGATCAGTCATCCTCAGGCCTAACTCTCCCGCTAGGCTGAGTTCAGCTGGGGTGCGTTCTGCACCTTTGTATTGCCTGCATCTCACCCAGTGCAGGACACGCATGGCACCCACTTGGAGCTGAATGTTTTTAGTACACCTCTGGGAGTCTCTGAAGGGACCCAAGGAGCCGGGCAGCTCTTGTCGAGAAGTCCCCCATCTAGTGGCCAAGACAGGCATGCAAAATAAAGTATGTGTAAGGGGAGTCTGGTATGCCTCTCATCTCAGAAAAATGTTTTATTTCACAAAAATGAACACATATTCCTCAAAAAAGTAAACATAGAATTACCTTGTGATCCAACATTTTCACTCCTGAGCATATGCCCAAAACGAATAAAAGGGACTCAAATAGATATTTGTACACCCATGTTAATAGCTTTATTCATAATAGTCAAAACGTGGAAACAGCTCAAATGTCCATCAGCAGATAAATGATAAACAAAATGTGATATGTATGTACATATAATGGATTGTTATTCAACCTTAAGAAGACATGAAATTCTGATACATACAACATCATGGATGAACCTTTAAGATATCATGCTACGTGAAATAAGCCAGACACAAAAGGGCAAATATTGTATAAATCTCCTTATCTGAGGTATCTAGAGTAGTCAAATTCATAATGACAGAAAGTAGCAGGGTGATGAGAGAGAGTAATGGGGAGTTATTGATTAGTGGGTACAGAGTTTCAGTTTGGGGTGATGAAAAAGCTCTGGAGACTGTGGTGATGGGTGCACAGCATTGTGAATGTACTTAATGCCACCGAACTGTGCACTTAAAATGGTTAAAGTGGTAAATTTTATGTTATGTATAGTTTGCCATGATAAAATAATATAAATTTACAAAGCAATTATATGGAAATACAAATACCAAAATATTTTTTAGAAAGCCAAACGTGTGATATAATGATGCTGCTTTATAATGTATAACATAACCAGATTCAATAGAAAAATCTAAGAACTACTTATCTGTGACATAATAAAAAACATGTATTTTGTTTCTGCCTCCAGTTTCTGACATGGAGCCCCTAAAACCCTTGTAATTTCCTGAGGGATGGAGATGATAGGAACCTCTTAAACAGAGCTCCTAAATTCCTCAGAATTTCCTGGGTGACTGGAGCTCCTTTTATTCTAATGAGGCAACTCTTGGTGGGCTCCAGGATGGGAGCTGGTCACCCCAAGCCATGATTAGAAGCTTGGAACTTTCAGTCCACCCCATCCTCCAAAGAGGGGAGAGGGACTGGAGAAAGAGTTGATGGTTGATTACAACTATGCAATGAAGCCTCCATAAAAACCCCTAAACTATGTGGTTTGGAGAATTCTCAGGCTGAGGAATGCATCCACATGCTGGGGTGGGAGATGATACCCCAACTCCACAGGGACAGAACCTGCCAGACCTTGCCCAGTGTGATTTTTCATCTGGCTGTTCTTTATAATATTCTTTATAATGAACTGCTGAACATAAGTAAATGTTTCCAAGTTTGGTCAGCCAATAATTTTTGAGTTTTTATTTCCAAGTTTTGTCTAACAAACTATCAAAACAGAGGTGGGTGTGGGAATCTCCAACTCTGTGGCCAAGTTGGACAGAAGTGCAGGGACCCTGGGGACCTTGAAGTGAGGGCAGCCTTCTGCAGCTGAGCCCTCAGAGTTGGGAAGTCTGATGCTAACTGCTCTGGGTAGTTAGAGTCTGACTTGAATTCAATGATAGGACTCCCAGTTGCTGTCCAGAAAGTTAGAAAATCAGATGATGTGGGGTGGAAATCCACACATTTGATGTCAGAAGTGTGGTGAGTAGAGAAACAGTTTTCCTTTACTACCATGATGACAAAGTAGTGGTGAATGTAAATGAATTCGAATGTAAATGAAAATGTATTTCAAAATATTTCAATCATATGAGAGAATTACTACTAACTACTGTGAGTTTGCTGCCTGCATCCATAATGGAAGGAAATGTTAGAGTTCATTACAGGCTAGTACAAATAAGATGGAATTTCTTTCCCCTTCCAACTTACCAGGGCCCTTGAGTTTGTCTCCCTGAATTCTTTATCTGCTGACTTCTAAGGGGTCCCAGACCCCTGGTTAAGAATTCCTGAGGGATATGTACAAGGAGCAGGGGGAACTTCAGTAACTGTGTGCTTACTTACAAGGCTCCTCATTGCAGCTCTGGGAGAGACTGAAAACAAATGCTCGGTAATGCCAAAATGGGCAAGTACGTTTGGTACATCATAAAGCAGAGCCATAAAAACAAATAAGGGTGTTCTTTAGGTGCCCATATGGGAAGATTCCTTTTGAAAAAAGTAAAGGATGGGGAGAAAGAATCCACATAGGTATTTCTTCATATAGAGTATTTCTGGCAGGGTACATCAGAGAATGGTAACATTGCTTGCTTCCTAGGAGGAGAAAGGGTGGCGTTCAAGAGTAAAGAGAGCACTTCCACTATATCCTTAAAACATGGAGCAATGTAAATGTATGTAAACAGATTACCTATTCATAAAATTAAGTTAAGAATGTTCATAATATGCTGGACCTGCTGGTTGCCTCAAATTTCCCTTCATCACCAGAGTCTATGTGGTGCCTCATAGGTTAAGTTGGCAAAGTTTGGATCACATGACCTTTAACCCTGATTGGCCCAATAGGGGAGCTTCATGCCCAGGTCTTTTATAGCAGGAAGTTTGAATTTGGGACATAGATGCATCAGTGAGCAGAGGCACAGTAAAACCTTAATTGGTCTTACTTTTTTCCTAAACAGTATCCTCCCAGGAAGAGAGAAACATATAAAAGTATTCTCTCAGTCCTCCCCAGATTGTAGATTAGGGAAACTTGAGGCCCACAGAGGTTAAGTGCATTCAGATGGCTGGTCCAGGATTGTTATTCCAGGGCTGGGCACTTCCACTTCCCCACAGTCTTAGAGCCAAAACTGGCCTTGAGAACCAAGGCTGAAGACTGGAAGGTCCTCTCACAGCAGGAAGGGAGAAGCCATGGTTTCCTGAAAGCAGTGAGACGCCAGCCAGAGGTGTTGGCTCCCATCTGCTCCCCCTGCCCCAGCAGGGCAGGGCAGGACAGGGGATGGGCAAACCCAGCTTCCTTTGAAGGATGAAAATGAGAGAGCAGGATTTTAATTTAAAGGACTCAAGAGTGAAAGGATCTGTTGATTCAATGGTTTGTTAATTTACATATTGACGGACCTCAGCAACTACATACACTTATGCCAGTGTTATACATACTCTCTTAACTTTAACTAATTCACACATTCATATGGTACCATTTGATGCCTGCATTGTGGGGACCAATTCCCACATATCTCATGGGGATATTCTAGGAGAAACCAGTTCTTTCAACATCATGTGGCTCTCTTCCTCAGAAAACACTAACTGCTAGCACTTATAGTGTTCTTACTCTATGTCAGACACTTATTCTGTGCCAGAACAGTCTGTGTTCTAAGTGATTTGTATATGTTAACCCATTTAACACTCACATCTAGCATGAGAGAGATATCACAGCTGAGGCCCACAGAGGTTTCATATCTTGTCTAAGGTCACACAGCTACTACTGGGAGGAACCAGGGTCTGATTCTGGGCAGTCTGACTCCAGAGCCACATGTTTTCTCTGGTCTCTTAGTCACATGCCTTTGCTGCCAGGGTAATTCTGCCAGCTTAGTCATCACTGTCATCTGGCCAGAGGGCTTCATCTCCCTGCAGGCTGCCTGAGCACTGGCTCTTCCTTGTCTCCCTCTACCTTTATCCTTACAGGAGCTAATGAATCCATCCCAGGGTTCTGGTTTTGGCCACCTCTGCTCACCTCTAGTCCCCTACAATGTCTTCACTAACCCATCTTCTCACACTCTCACAGACTTACACCTTCACTGTACCCGAGGCCAGGGACTGGCATTTAGTTGGTTCTGTGTGTCCAGTGGCCCATGCAGCAGGGGACCAAGCATGCGCGTGCGCACACACACACACACACACACACACACTACACACAGTTGGAGACAGGATCCACATCAGCATCTGGGCCTTTGTGGCCCCTGCCTGGCCTGGCTACAAACAATGGTTGTTGTGTGGGAGGTGAAATGGAGTCAGGCAGAGACAAGCCTGGAGACCCAGCCCCTCTTCCCTCCTCATCCTCTCCTCCCCCTGTGTAGCTCTTGCCTCTTTCCCTGCCAGCTCCTCAGCCCCAACAGAAGTCCAGTGCCAGGGTAGCAAGATTTAGGAACACAGGCTATCCACTCCATTCTATCCCAGTACATACAGTGTCACCACATGATGTTCCCTCTCTAAGGGGCCCACATCCTCGGGGGGAGGTTTTCCCGTGATGGTCCCTATAGCCAGCAATTTTATTGTTTGGCATCTCACCTCTCAGGTCTTGTTTCTGCGGCAGGTTAGCCACAGCAAAATTCTACTAAGAGATAAACCACAAACAATGAAAAACAATGACCACTGCTAGGTTCACTTGATCTAAATGCCCTTGTATT